AATTCTAGGTTATAGTTCATAGCAGAGAAGTCAGGAGCAGGATCTGGTGACACCATATCCTCAAGTCAAGAACAGAGTGAAACAATTGCAACCTGTTCGTTCACTGCTAGCTTTCATTGAGCTCACATAACTCAAGTCCCAGCCTAGGGAATAGTGCCAACCATAACGTGTCTGTCTATATCAGTTAACAAGGTTATACCCCACAGACATTCCCACAGGCAGACCTGACTTATGTAATTCCTCAGTTGAGTTTCTGGTCACAGGTGATTCTATGTTGTGACAAACAGACTCTTAAAACAAATCAACATAGCTTCCTGAGTGTTGAAATACATGTTTATTTTAATAAACAAATCACAGTTGATCTATTTTGTAACTCTTTAAAAGAGAAACCTCTCACACCTGTGGGTCTTGATGTGCCAATAATAAAACAGAAACATTGTGAAGATTAGCTAGCATCACTCATCCAGAACACACAAAGGCACTTGCAAGTGCACACACACACACACACACACACACACACACACACACACACACACATATATGAAACTGACTTTAGACCAGAGAATCACATTGGAGTAAAAACAAATGCTAATGCAGAGGTTATGCAGTTAAATTTCTGGACTCCTTTGTTGATGTCATTTTCTTGTCTTAAGGGAAGAGAATGATCACAGACCATATGTAACTTTAACTAATACAGCCTGCTAATTAAAATTATAATTGCAATCTCATTCATTCTGTGATTTATAATTTGTAAGCAAATTAATAGCATTTTTAATTAAACTTATTTAAATTATCACAATTATTAAATATAAGTAAAGTTGAACTCCTCAACTTTATTATCTTTACCCACTCATTCACCAAACACATTGTCTCTATTTACATAACACACTTCTTTTACTGCCTATAAATGCCACTCATCCTTAAGATGTCCATGTTTTCTGACCTGTGTAGAAATTCTAAATTTAGGCTCAGTTTCAGTTGAACTATTGCCTCTTTTATTTCAAATAACAATATTTCACAAGTTAGGAAATTGTAAAGAGCAGCCGTCTTGAAAAGTTATAGTAGTATCAGATACTCATATTAATTACCCATTGAAACATACCATTTCTGCACATTGTGTAAATCTCAATATTGAATAAAATGATCCATATTTTATCATCTGAGCCCTGATTTTTCTTTTGCTGAAGATTATATAAATCAAGAATTATATTTTGTATATAATTTTATCACACTCCCTTTACCTACACAACTTTTCAGATCTTAAATTTATTTAAATATTATGACTAGAATTCCCAAAATCATTTAGAATATACATGTGTGATTTAACATGGGAACATGGGTTGTCACGCCCATCTGCTGTGTAAAATCTAAAAACTTCTGTCAAAGCTTAATATGTCATGAGCTAGAAGTAGCATTCTAATGCAGAGTGGTCAGAGTGTATGAAGAGGATCACAAGCCAGGCACAGCGTGATCACCTTCAGTCCCAGGTATCAGTTGCCTAAAGTGGGAGAATTGCATGTTTAAAGCTTTTGAGACACATGGTGAATTCATGACCAGCCTGAGCTCTTTAGCAAGACCATGTCCCAAAATGAAAACAATAACAAAACATCTTAACACTGAGCAATTTTGTGGTGGAAACCCAGCTAAATGCTCTGAGTGTTCTTGTTGAATAGTCCCAGTATGTCCTGTGAGATGAGTATATTTTGATCACCAAATAATGATTGAGGGATTTAGGTGTGGAGATGAAATAATGGGTAGCTGAAAAATATTGTCCACATGTCAGAAGAAAATTGTTTACTGATGTAATAATGTTTACAGTTACATGAATAATTGTGTCTTTGACTTAGTCTTATATAAATTCTTAAAAATCCTCATTTCTACAGATCACCTATGCATTATGCTTGTGCATATGGCCATCCTGATATAGTGACCATCCTACTACGCTGGAATTGCGACGTTGAGCTCCGTGACAGTTACAAACGCACAGCACTAATTAAGGTAAATAGTAGCCAACAGTTTCAGTATGACATGGATTTGCTGTAAATGCTGAGAATAAACATGATTTTTCTCAACTAAATGCAAATAATTAGTGAAATCCTTGGAATTCTCATCTTGAGTTTCTTATCTTTCCAATGTATTACTTGATGTAATACTCACAGGCTTCACAGTATGGCTATGAAGAATGTCTGACAATTTTATTAGAACATGGTGCCAATGCAAATGCAATTGACAACAGTGGGAGCACAGCTCTGCACTATGCTGTTTATTATATAGAGAACATCTCAATGGTATCAAAACTGCTGGAATACCAGCATAAAGAACAAGGTAGAGACCACACAGCTTTAATTTCCAAACTATTTGGACTGGGTTTGCTTTACCAAGACTTATTTGCATATACATAATTTGATTCACCAAATCTAATAAGGCCTGCACATGGATATTTAAAAATATTTCATTGAAATTCTGATACAACTATGACATTAGAATCTCTGTAAAGGTAAGTTTAATATATGAATTCTCAAATTTCAGGAAGCTAAAACATCTCTAGAAGAGTGGGGTTTGATGGGACCTCATTCCTTCCCAATGATATTTCACACTTTCCTTTGATTACATGATTACTTCTGTGATGAATGTTATAAAGAGAATTGCTGGCAATATTACTCTGGAAGTTGTAAATGTATAACCACAGAGTTCATAAAATACTGACGGGAACCTTCTGGCTTGTTTGTTTTTTGGTTTATGAGACAGGATCTCATATAGTCCAGGTTGGCCTTGAACTTTTTATGTAGATGAGGATGGCACTGGTCTTCCTACCTTCATCTCTAAAATGCTGGGCTTATGGCCATTCTCCATCATGCCTCTCTGTGTGTTTGTGCAGCTCTGGTTGTCCTGGAACTCTGTCTCAGCCTTCCAAATGCTGAGGCTAATGGCATTTTCTCCCATACCCAGTTAGGTTAGCGTTTTTTCATTGTGCTAAAATGACCCACATGGATGATTATCAGATTTTGTCCTCATAAAATTTATATTTCATTTCTCATTTGTATTTTGCCTAAATGTAAAAATAACTTTAAGTAGTAACTAAAAAGCAAGTGACCTAAAAATAAATTTTAAATAGATGTGTGTCAGATGTGTATAAGAGATCTTACGAATGAGATATTACTCTTCTTATGATGGGAAAAATTCCCATGGACCTTTTGCTAATAAGCTACCAAAGTTCCTTTGCATCCCATGCCATCTAATTTACAACCTTGTCCTAAGTGATCCATTTGGAGCAGAGTGTCTGCTGTGGTTTCCTGTTACTGTAAATAGAAAGAGTCTACTTAGCTCTTCCACTGCCTGGTAGAAATGTAGTTGTTTCTGGAATTCGGTCAAGGCCAGGACATTGATTGTTTGCCACAAAAGAAGATATAAAGATCACACATATGTCTCCATATTTCATGCTAGACTTGTCCTGTTCAAGTTTATCTTAGAGATGAACATGATATTTATGTGAGGCATGGCATTTCTGGGAAATTAAATATTCTTTTGGAATACTATTTACTGTTTTGTTCATTAGACATAAAAGACACAGCCCATCCTCAAGCAGCTTTAGTTTAGCTGGGAGCAATCACATCCTCCATAATTACGTAGTGAATGGCAAGGTGGACACAATGCTCAGAGAGCTAGCTCACGCTTGAATGAGTGTTGTGAGCAAGAACTGGTGTTCATGGGCAGCTCCAGGCATGCAGAGGCTTTTGCAAGGGCAGAGTAGCAGGTGGAAAAGCAATGTGGGGTGGGAAGGCCCAGGCAGTGGTTCACAGAGCCATCAGCAAACGCTAAGCTCCACTGTGTCTTCCATCTGATTTCTTCGTGAGAAATACAAAGTCCTGAGAATCATGAGTTGTTGTTTCTGTCACCAGTAGAAGGGCATTTCACCCCTTACACTGACTTAACAGGGAAAAATGAGAGCCTGATAAAATTGTTAGCAAGCAAGGACACAATAAAAAGGACAGAAGAAGCTGATGAACCAGAGAGGTAAGGTTAATTCTTTTATATATTTTTCTTCGTGGCATTCTATGGTGGGTACAGTCACTCAAGCCCAAACCATTAAGTAGGTATGAAGAACAATTAGACATTCTTAGTAGGATGCCAAGACATAATTTCAATTATATAGACAGGCAATTATCCAGACTAAGCAACACTAAAACGAGCATAGCAGTGTAACATGGAAAATGAATGAACTCATAGACAGATATTGTGGTTCAAACCTCAAACTGAAGATAGAAAAGCAAAACAGTCAGCCACTAGCCTCAAACTGAAGCTAAGGCTGAAAGGGATGATCAATGAAGGAACTCTTCACCAAGTCTCAAACTGCTTCTCTCATCAGTTTGGCTGGAGAATGAATGCCTGATCTGAGCCTTATCTTCAGTGTGGCCAGTGAATCAACCCCTCCTAGAGAATACAGAAAACCCTCCTTCTGTCTTTTATACCCCTCTAGTGCTGGGATTAAACACATGTGATCTGTGACTCCTTCAGACTGATTCAATCTCATGTATCATCAGTGGTCTTGAACTCAGAGAGATTGGTCTACCTCTTAATCCTTGTCCTAGGTTTAAAGGTGTGTACCACTATGTCCTAGCTTCTGCCTTCTGGGGTTAAAGATGTGTGCATTGCTGCTGGATCCTCCAGCAGGTAGAACAGGGGAAGGGCTAGTCAGTCTCTTCCTAGGGCTGAGCAGGATGGTGAGTGCCAATGACTCAGAACCCCTCACCCCAACTAGTTACAGGGGAGAAAATACACACTGAGTCTGAAGCTTGTTGAAGCAGCATCTGGATTTATTCCAACATGCAGGAACTTATATAGGGCTGAGGTAGGGGTTGGGAATCTTAGGATAGGGTAAGGTGATGATGTGAGGAGTAAGGGCCAATAATATGCCACAAAGCTGGGAGGTAGCTAGGCAGGGGGCAGTCATACATCATGCCTTGCTGAGTCACCCCCACATGGAGGTTATAGACCAGAGACAGGCCGCCAAACTCTAGCCAGGCTCAGGAGGTTAGACTGGGCCTCACATCCAAGCCTTTCTAGGCCCAACACTTGGCTTCTATGAATTGTGGCTGACTTTGCTTTCTGAACCCTCAGGCAAGTTTTAATAAATCATAAATAATATATCACTCATTTTTCTCTAATACGAAATGAAGCTACAACTGACATAAGAAAAATTATACACATTAAGTATATACAATACATGCAACAAGTTCATCCACAATGTCTAGTCCTTTTGCATTTGACAAATACAGAGAAAATATCTTAATCCATTTGCATTTGACAAATTCATAAAATACTTCATTATTCTATCTTGGTGACTTCAAAGTCTTGTACCTAATTAATATTATATTCTAATTTGTATTATCAAATTATATTTTAATGTGTCTCAGACTTTTATACTTTACATATCTTTAGTGAATTTCTTTTCTGAGTCTGGAAAACAATAAAAACTACAACTATCTAGTCTTCAACTCCCTGAGAGGCCCTAGAAGGAAATAATATTAACTGAGAAAGCAGGAAGTGCTAGCAATAGACTTCCAAAAAATGTGAGAAATAACAGAAACAGCTGGCTACCTGGACAGTCACCCAAGGTTCTTCTGCAATTTAGGGGCATGTATCAGTCTGCCTATAAGTCTCTGGCAGACTTTTCTGTGAAGCAGGATTCCACTAAGAGCTATCCTGCCTTGCCTTGGCAAGGTTTTGTAGTCACTCTTTTTTGTGTCCTGTTTGTCCAGATTGGACAGCACTTTGTCAGCAGTTGAGGCAACTGCACTTTCTTGTCCAGTGGCTTACCTTTACCACAAAGAAAGTAAACTCCATGTGAGTTTCTTGGATGTTCATCATCTTCTCTTAAGTAGATTAATGCTTCCAGGAGCAAACATATTTCATTGTCATGAAAAGAGCACTATGATGGGCCAGGATTTCCAGTGCCTTGTAGGAACCACTTGAGACCTGGAGACTGCACACTGAGGATCCCATCCTGGCAGGATCCACCCCACCCAGAGACTGCCAGCATCCTAGTCCCATTCTCTTCCGGCCGGACTAGGTAAGCCTGGGCCTGTGTCAGTCCCACCTTCAGTGCTTTGCTTGGAGTCAGCTGAGGCCTGGGGATTACACACTGCAGATCCCATCCCGATGGGGTCCAGCCCACCCTGAGATTTCCAAGGCCCCAGTACTAAGACTGCCTCTATCCACAAGAAGAGGAGAGCCACCAGAGTATTGGACCTGCTTGCACCCCCTGGAAGGGAACCTTGGTACCATAGCCACCAGGAGAGGAAGAGACTCCTTCTGCACCCAATGGAAGAAGAGATGGAAAGTAGACAATATAAAAACACACTCAGCAAGTGCCTGCAGATCCCCTGGGAACTGCACAGAGCTCCCAATCCCAGCCGGAGCCAAGCACCCCAGACTCCAGGTCTTCTCTCCCACCAATGAGACCAGGAAACCAGAGGAGCGAGGGAGTCCAGGGAAACAGCTGTTCCAGCGGCAGCATCAGGTAAACAGGCCGGCTTCTGGGCCTGTGTTCCAGTGCCTGGGGATCGCCTGGGAACTGCACAGAACTTCCAATCCTGGTGGGAACCAAACACCCCAATCTCCAGGTCTTCTCTCCCGTCAACAAGACCAGGAAACCAGAGGAGCCAGGGAGACCAGGGGAGAAGCTGTTCCGGCTGCAGGATCAGGTACAACAGGTTCCAGCATAGGGTCCAGGGGACCAGGTAGGAGGCTAAGCGCCTCAGATTCCTGTTCTTCTTCTCCACCCACGGGACCAGAATGAGGACAAGGAATAGAAGAACTACCAGATTATTGGACTTGCTAGCACCCACCAAAAGGGAACTCTGGTCCCCTAACCACCAGACCAGTAAGGGGCTCTTTCTGCACCCACTAGAAGAAGAGATGGGAAAGAGACAATACAAAAACACACTCAGCAACAGAAAAATAAATATGACACCATCAGATTCTACAGACTCCACACCAGCAAGACTCCAACATTCACATGAGAACGAAGCAGAAGAGAACGACCTTAAAACCACTTTCATGAAAATGATAGAGGCCCTAAAAGAGGATATAGGAAAATAACTCAAAGAAATGGAAGAAGAAACAAACCAAAAAATGCAAGAATTGGAAGAAGAAACATACCATAAAAGGCAGGAAATGGAAGAAGAAACAAACCAAAAAAGGCAGGAAATGGAAGAAGAAACAAAGCAAAAATGCAAGAAATGGAACAAAATGAAAACCAAAAAATGCAAAAAATGGAAGAAAGAACAAACCAAAAAATTCATAAAAGGCAAAAAATTGACAAAAAATCACCCGAAAATTGCAAGAAACAATGCAAACATAGCAAGGGTTGAAAACTGAAATAGAGACAATAAAAAAGCACAATCTGAAGAAAGGCAGAAAATAGGAAAGCTGGGCAAACAGTCAGGTACTACCGATACAATCATTACCAACAGAATAGAAGGGATGGAAGAGAGAATCTCAAGTGTTGAAATTACACTAGGAGAAATGGTTTCATCAACCAATGAAAACCTTAAGTCCAACAGATCCTTAACACAAAACATCCAGGAAATATGGGACACCATGGAAAGACCAAACCTAAGAATAATAGGTATAGAAGATGGAGAAGAAATCCACCTCAAAGGGGCAGAAGACATATTCAACAAAATCATAGAAGAAAACTTTCCCAACCTTAAGAAAGACATGCCAATGAAGATACAAGAAGACTACAGAACACCAAATAGAGTGGACCACAGAAAAATTCCCTTGCCACATAATAATCAAGACCCCAAACATACAGAATAAAGAAAGAATATTAAGAGCAGCTAAGCAAAAGTTCAAGTAACATATAAAGGTAGACCTATCAGAATTACACCTGACTTCTCCATGGTAACTCTGAAAGCCAGAAGGTCCTGGATAGACATTCTACCTACACCAAGAGACCATGGATGCCAGCCCAGACTACTATACACTGCAAAGCTCTCAATCAATATAGACAGAGAAAACAAGATATTCCATGACAAAACTAGAATCAAGCAATACTTATCCACTAACCCAGCCCTACAGAAAATTGGAAGGAAAACTCCACCCAAGGAAGCTAACTCCAACCAAAAAACATAGGCATTAGAGAATCCCTCTCTACCAACAGCCAAAAGAACAAATGGGTGTAATTCCACACACAATTCCAACAACCAACAACCACTGCAAATCGAAGATAGATGAGAAATCAATAGTCATTAATATCCCTCAATATTAACGGCCTTAACTCACCCATAAAAAGACACAGACTAGCAGAATGAATTCGAAGACAGACCCTTCCTTCTGCTGCATACAAGAAACACACCTCACCCTCAAAGACAGACATTACCTGAGAGTTAAAGGTTGGGAAAAATTTTTTCAATCAAATGGACCCAAGAAACAAGCAGGGGTAGCAATCCTAATATCTAGCAAACTAGACTTTAAAATAAAATCAATCAAAAGAGATGAAGGAGGTCATTACATACTCATCACAGGTGAAACCCACCAAGATGTAGTGTCTATCCTCAACATATATGCCCGAAATACAAAGGCATCCACATTCATAAAAGAAACATTATTAGAAATTAAATCTCAAATAAAGCCCCACACAGTTATAGTGGGAGATTTCAACATACCACTCTCACCACTAGACAGGAATACCAGACAGAAACTCAACAAAGAAGCAAAGAGTCTAATAGAAGTAATGACCCAACTGGGATTAACACACATCTATAGAACATTTCATCCACATAAAAAAGAATATACTTTCCTCTCAGCACCACATGGAACCTTCTCAAAAATCGACCACATTCTTGGTATCATATCAAACCTCAGCAACTACAAAAATTTGGAATGACTCCATGCATCTTATCAGACTCACTTTCTCTGATAGAAGCTAATCTAATCTGGGCAGACTTCTCTCAGGTTACTATTACACTGAGAGCAACTTATGAGCTCCCTTGTATAACTTCAATGTCATGATCAGCCTGATATTTGTCCAGTTTGCCATTTCAGATGTATAATGGCATGCCTAGCAAGTTTTTATTTTTTGGAGTCATGGATTGTAACTTACCCTTGTCTAAAACTCAACATGTCATTCCTTTACAGCTGCAAGTTCTGGGATCACAGACTTGCAATACCACATATGTTTTTCAGGGTCTTTATTTGAATATGCTCATTCATTTGGAGTTCTGGCCAGGAAATATTATGGAGTATTTCTCTATATGTGCAAAGTGTTTAACCTCATGCTGAATGATATTGCATCAGGATGGTGTCTTTCACGTTTCTTAAGAATATGTATATCTGCCCATGAAAGAATACCTGTTATGCAAACTTATCACAACTGTGAGGAAGTGCCTGGTCATTTGAATTATATCAAGAAAACTTTTTGACATCCACTTCTTAATTGATAGACTCAGAGTGACATCTCGTAGCCAAAAACTCTCATTCTTATGTTAAGGTGTGTTT